CGGGTCATGTGGCCAGCATGACTAAGTCGCTTCTGGCGAACCAGAGCAGCACACGGAAACGCCGTTTACCTTCCCACCAGAGTGGTACCTATTTATCTACTTGCACTTTGATGTGCTTTCAAACTGCTAGGTTGGCAGGAGCAGGGACTGAGCAACAGGAGCTCGCCCTGTCACAGGGATTCGAACCGCCAACCTTCTGATCAGCAAGTGCTAGGCTCTGTGGTTTAACCCACAGCACCACCCGCGTCCCTTTCTGTATGGATATTTCCCCCTTAAAAAGGTATCTGTAAATCTGACTGGCTCATTAGGTACTATGTTTTGTTTATTCCCCCTCCTTGTAGGTCATACTAACCACAAAGAGCCTCTCCTTGGATAGCTGAATTTTGTCAAACAGTAATAACTACCTTGCAAACCAGAGGAAATCAAGCAGACAAACGAACTCACTGTGCCCAGACTTTGCCCTTCTTTCATACTGTGCAGAGCAGCTTATTCCACTGTTGTGCTTAATGTTTACCATCCTTGAGCTTACATCCGGCTCCAGTGACAGACAGGGAGTAGGCTGTGGTTAGCTTGTTGTGAGGAAAATGCACTCTGCATGTCCTCAAATGCACTCTTCGCTGCTACTTCCAACCTCACAGGACTTCCAAGACTGAGGACAGGCTTTTAGGCAGGGGTGGACAGACTTTAGACTTCAATGGTCAATTTTGCTGGTGCATTTTTACTAGAGATTCTAGGTCCAACAACCAGAGCCTGGTGGCAGAATAACAGCCAAGGCAGACACACAGTTGGACTTCAGGAACTTGAGTGGCTGTGTGAGCCTGGTGGCAGAATAACAGCCAGGGCAGACAGTTGGACTTCAGGAACTTGAGTGGCTGGCACCAGAAATGAGCTCCTAGTCTTTCCAACCCCAAACTCCACTCCTGGTTCCATAAGAAGTTATTTTTGTTTTAGCAGCCTAATTTACACACCTTGTTATGGTCAAGCTATCAGTTTGACCCAGTTCTCTCAGGTTGCGATCTACTGGTAGACCTCTATCTTCCAGGCTAAAGGGTAGAGCCCAAAGACAGTAAGGGGATGGGTAGGGATTCCTGTTAAAAGCACCTATGATTTCCCCTGAACTACATTTTCTTGTGTGCAGCTGTGGGGCGTCTGGAGCAGCATTTCAAGATCTTTGCATACTTAGCTTTCAAAGAGATGGTTAACGCTGGGGTGGGAGGGGGCAGCAAGGTGAGGACTGGATGGTGCAGTAGACTTTTAAAAGTTCAAGATACGCTGCCTTAATCACATATTTGAGACCTATCCCTTAGAACACTTTGGCTGCAGCATTGAAGCCTGCCAAGAAACTGGACTCAAGTGCTACACAGAGTTTTGCTGCCTTTGAAAAGACATATATTATTGCTTAAAGGTAAAGGTAAAGGTACCCCTAACCATTAGGTCCAGTCGTGATCGACTCTGGGGTTGCGGCGCTCATCTCGCTTTATTGGCCAAGGGAGCCGGCGTACAGTTTCAGGGTCATGTGGGCAGCATGACTAAGCCGCTTCTGGCGAACCAGAGCAGCGCACGGAAACACCGTTTACCTTCCTGCCAGTGCGGTACCTACCGTATTTTTTGCTCTATAAGACTCACTTTTTCCCTCCTAAAAAGTAAGGGGAAATGTGTGTGTGCGTCTTATGGAGCGAATGCAGGCTGCGCAGCTATCACAGAAGCCAGAACAGCAAGAGGGATTGCTGCTTTCACTGCACAGCGATCCCTCTTGCTGTTCTGGCTTCTGAGATTCAGAATATTTTTTTCTTGTTTTCCTCCTCCAAAAACTAGGTGCGTCTTGTGGTCTGGTGCGTCTTATAGAGTGAAAAATACGGTATTTATCTACTTGCATTTTGACATGCTTTCAAACTGCTAGGTTGGCAGGAGCAGGGACCGAGCAACGGGAGCTCACCCCGTCAAAGGGATTCGAACAACCGACCTTCTGATCGGCAAGTCCTAGGCTCTGTGGTTTAACCCACAGCGCCACCCACGTCCCCATCTCACTGCTTAGTTCAAGAGCAAATCACTAATTTAGATTTACTGATTAGCGCTAGGCAGCCCCACTGATGTTTCTGCCTTAAGCTGCAACAGGCTGCATCCATGGGCTAGACTTCCTTTTGGGGGGCAGGTGGGAATTGCTTGATACTTTCCAGATGCAGATGTTCACCTCCTGTGCCTTTCCAGGTGAAGGAAGAATTTAAACATTCCAATAAATGTGGAGCACATGCAATTTTAAATGCATCAATATACAACAGATTAGACTTTATGCATACCCAGGATTTAAAAAACAAAAGCAACCAACACGTCCCTCCAGCACCTTCATTTTCCGCAGCCACAAAGAGATAGCAGACAACCTATCATCTCGAAGTTCCTATGAGCAGACTGGGCTTCTTCTTGGGACCTTGTTAGCAGAACATGAATACAAGACTTTGCAAAAGCTCCTGCAGGAGCAAGATCCTTATCCCTGACCTGCAGAGCAATTCTCACTGATTGCTTCAGGCTTTGTGGAAGAATTCCCTCCTCTTGTCAGGTTGGGGTGGAACATGCTGGGGGAACATTAATGTTCATGCCAAGGAACATTAATTACATTAACTGTGGGGGAGTAAGAGGCGTGTGTGAAATTTCAGCTGGAGAGGGAGACGCTAAGAGCTTTTGCCCAGAAGCCAAGAGAAAAAGCTTTCGTTGGATTTTGTATTATGAACCTGCATGGCGGCTCTACTTAACACAGGGACACAGCCGGTCATCTATGAGCAACTGGTCTCAGGTCCAGGCCCTCCAAATATGTTGGGACTACGACTCCCATCTTCCCTGATAATTTACCATTCTGGTTGGGGTTGGTGGGAGCTGGGAGTCCGACATCAACTGGAAGCCACCAGGTAGGGGAAGGTGAATCTGTATAGCCACGGCGCTAACCTAGTGCTATCAAACTCACCATTTCCAATTCCACAAGGGGCGGAAAGGTATTCAAAGTTAGCAATTGTGCACAAATTAGCAGGCAATTCCCTTTTCGCACAAAGGTACATTCTCCAGTGAAGGCAGCCGTATTGTTAAGTTGCAGCAAAACAATGAAGTCCCATAGCACTTTATAAGGAGTAACAAACAGATTGAAATAGGCTTTTGTGGGCCACAGACCATTTTGGCACTTAAATAATGTAAAGTGTACACACAGACAGACAGACAGACAGACAGACAGAGACACCGAGAGAAGGTACCTTATTAAGGTCAAAAGATAACAGGCAGAAAGTGTGACACATTATTATACAGAGATCAATACACAGAAGCCAACCAATTCTTATAATTAAACAAACAAACTAATCCTAATATTAAGTCAGCACACATCAGCTGATGTACAATATAACCCTTCTTATCCTTAGCAGGATGGTGCAAACTGCAAACAGCAAATTCTAACATGCACTGGTTGCCATTTACTCAATGACAGCCTGTTCCCACTCGTTTACTTTAAAGCCTATTCCTGGTTCTCTCCTCAGAGCCCAGTGTTAAGAAGTTTCCAACTTCCTTCTGGTGTAAAGAACACCATGCTCCAAGCAGCTTCTTTGCAACTTGATGGGGTAAGGAAGACAAGATGCTGCTTGGCTTTCTGCTGAGCAACCAGTAACAGCAGAATCAGCACAGGGCATTCTGTTCGTTGGGGATACCTTGACTTCCAAGTGTGGTGGAACTTCCTTGTTTTCCTCCACTCTTTTTTTCCTGCATCTGAGTTTATGATTAATGTGTAGTACTTTCCCCTCCAATGACTGGCAGCTGTGCTCCTGAGACTAATTCAGAAGTGGGGTGGACAGTAGAGGACGAGGAGAAACAGCACAGCCCACTCCACCAACTGGAACAACTTCCTTTCCCAGATATTTCCCCCTTTGCCAGCCTTCCCAATTGGTCATGAATCATTTACTTGTTCCTGCATATGCTTATTCCCCCCCCAACCCACGTTTTCCCTTTTGTATTGTGTCTGTTAGGCCTCATCTGCACTAACTATACATTTAAAGCAGTATCATGTTTTAACCATCAATGGCTTCCCCCCAAAAGAATCCTGGGAGCTACGATTCGTTAAGGATACTGAAAATGCTAGGAGATCCCTATTCCCCTTCACTACAATTCCCAGACAGATTTAACAGCCAATCCTTCTTCCCAGGGAACTCTAGGAATTGTAGCTCAGAGGGGAATAGGGATCTCCTAACAACTCTCAGCGCCTTAAACTATAGCTCCCAGGAATTTTGGGGGGAAAGCCATCCCTGGTTAAAATATTAAGATGCTGTTTTAAATGTTTAATGCAGATGGGGTCTTAGATTGTGGCCTGTGAGCAGGGATTGTGTTACTTTCTTAATAGTGCCTAGAAAACTTCAGGCCGTTTATAAATATCATCTTTTATTGATACAACTTAAAGCCTTTCACAAAATAAAACCTGTAGAGTTTTCTGTTTCTGCTCCCGAACGCAGCAAACCCAGAAGTGACTGTTCTGGTTTGCTATTTTTGGAAGCCAAATGTCTGACGGGGCTTCCGTGGCTTCCGATTGGCTGCAGGAGCTTCCTGCAGCCAATCAGGAACTGCGCTTTGGTTTCCGAACACTTTGAAAGTTGAACAGACTTCTGGAACGGATTCCATTTGACTTCCAAGGTATGACTGTATATGGTTACTAGACCACCAACTGGCTATTAAGGTCACGTCACAGAATCATTCTGTATTCTCCTTCCTCACTCTGGGGTATCCTACAGTGTTCTAGGAGAGGCATTCACAAAACTCTTAGGAGGATTTTACCAGCTCTTAACACATGCTCCATTACTTTGGTGATGCAATTCTTTCAGTTACTACCCTAAGATGTAGGAGTGTGACCGCAGGGATGGGCATACATTTGACAACAACACCCATCACATGTATGTTTCATCAAAATAAATCCCACTCATTTCAACAAAAAACACTTTTAAGCAAGGGAGTTTAGGAATGCAGCCTTAAATCTCTTCCAGTTCAGAAACAAAAATAACGTGTTATTTATTTCGGAAAAGTTCATATACCACTCAATTGTTTTTAAAAAAACTCAAAGTAGCTCAAGTATAAAAATAAATAATTTATCAGTAACAGTTAAAACAGTTAAAAACATAAAAAATCAACAATAAGCTAACAGCCTAATCAAAACACAGGCCAACTTTCTACATATCTGAGGAGGCATTGTAACATACAATTTATGTTTTACAACAGCAGCTTCCACACATTTATAGTAGTTCAGTAATTTGTTTGTGCTGCATATTCTGAAGTGTTTTTTGTTTATTGCAAAATTAGTGGCAGGCAAAGACCCAGCAATCAGATTCTAAAATTTCTGGATAAAAGCTGCCATGAAAACGATATCCCATTAGTTAAAAGTTTCTGTTACCTGCTAACATATTTTTTGTTCCTTAAGTATATGGAGCCCATTTCTAATCTATATAAATCTACAAGAGAGACAGATGGCCAAGCCTCTGAAATACAGAATATGTATCTTCAATCTGCCAGATATCACTGATGACTGGGGACGCCCATCATCTCAAGGCAAGCATTACGGGTGGCCCACTGACTACCCAGTCCCTGGCTGATGAACCACTTCAGGGTGGGACTGCAATTTTATTTTATGACTTGATAGTTGGTAGTGTGTTTGCTTGGGGTGCCTTCTGCTATTAAGACTCGGAGATGCAGGAAGACTCAACACTGGAGAACTTCCTGGTATGCAAACATAATCTATGAACACCTTGAGATCTTCACCATCAAGGCCAGCCCAAGACATTTTGGTACCCGAGGCAAGCCACAAAACGGTTCCTCCCACAATTGGGGAAGAATGGGTGAGTGAAGATCTACATCGGGAACAAGGCTGCTGTAGAGGCAGATCAGGACTTCAAGCAGCGTGCCACAGCCATTGTTGTCACCGTGGCTGCGGGACTCCTTGGAGACCGGATCCATTGCCCACACTGCCTCATGGGTGGGCCGGCCCTGTTTGGCACTGACTATCCAGTATACTTAACAGCTCTTTCCCTTATCCTGCAGATTCACCACATTATGAACTGCCACAATATAGCTATGCGTTCCTCAAACACAGCAGGTGACTATTATTTAATATATCTATAGCCCATCTCAACTTGTAAAACACAAGTAGTTAAAAGAAGATAGTTAAAATACATCACAACACATTTAAAGCCAGCAGTTAAAATGCAATTTGCATGAATAACCTATTTTCATTCTGGAAACGGGGCTGTGATGGTTCAGAGCTTATACGGAAACTCTAACCATTGCTAGGTGAATGATGTACGGAGAGTGAAATGGACTGCTGTTAGGATCCAGGAACCCAACTCCTGGGTGAACGTACTCTGGGCCTGCTCAGCTCTGAAGAATAATCATTCTTCTAAGAATAATAATATATAGATCTGGCTAAAATCACACTGCAGACTACTCCTTGGTCCACAATTTGTTATTCTTTTGTTTAGTTTGCTATTAAAATCCATTCATTTATTATTATTTAGTCCAATAACCCTATAAAAATAGTATTGTCATTAAAAACAATTATTTTAAAACAATAATTAAAACCAACAATAGCCTAAATATCAGATTGAAACACATATCAACATTTTACATAGGCCACATAGGCTTGCTGAAACAAACATGCCAAAAACTGTATTTGTCCGTTCGTATTTGCAATGCGTGTTCAGAATCACGGAAGATCTCTTTCCACATGGTGGTGCTCCACTCACCAGCTCTAATTTTTGAGAAGTGCTTTATACGTGGTCCAACCTGAGGCAAGTCTCCCAAGGTAGGGAGTTTGATAGTGTCGGAGCGGGCACCGAAAACACCTCTCTAGATGCCCTGCGACTTGGGACTGCAGATTACGGTACCGTCAAGAGGGTATTATTATTGGTTATCACGCAGCTCCAACTTATCCAAGTTTACCCCAAAAATATGTGCCACTGTGTCCAACAGAACTTACTCCCAAGTAAGCGTGCATAAAACTGCAACAATAACAGCAGCAATGAAACACGAGGAGAAGGTAATAGCTTAGGAAGGCACAGAAGTTTACACAGTCCTAGCAGAGAAGTGAAGCTGCGCCACCTTTGCTTGGTATCTCTCCAGAGGCTGGTAGAACATGAAGATGGAAGACTCCTCCATTTTCCAGTTTCTCAGAAGATCTCCATCCATGGCTTGGTACCTTCTGGTGACAAATCAAAATAATCAACAATAAATAGCAGATCAGGCCATCTACGCTTAAGGCAATCAAGGCACAAATATCTGTAACAGATGCACTCCTATCCTACTCAGAATCAAGTCCCAATGAGTTCAGTGGGGCTTACTCCAAGGTAGGTGGGAGACAGAATATGCGGTCTACGTTTCTTTCACACTAATCACGCCATATGTGAAATGCTATTCATTCAGGATTAAATGTGGAACAGAATTCAATTGTATACTGTAGTCAAAGCAGGCTCACACATTCTCACTGCAGAGTGGTTTAAAGTAAAGCTGATTTTTAAGTTTCACATGGGAGACTCTGTCCACACAGCCTGATCCTTAATTCTCTGCAAATATGCTCAGAATTGTGCTTCCCTCCCTTCAAATTCCAGCTGCAGTTTCTCTATCGAAGAAATTCCTTCTTATCAGCGGAGGCTGACAGGAGCCTGGTAGATCTGTGTAACCTGATGTCACAAGTCATGAGATCAGCTTAAAAATAACGTTCTTTGCTGACATGGTGCATTTGGGTTTTGCTTTTTGCTTGCCCAAATATTTGGAAACTACAGTTATCAAGATTTTCTTTGCAACCACCATGGGGGAAAGCCAGGGGGCTTTTAGCTGATATTTAGTTTAAGACAACAATTTGGATTTTAAAGACGTAACGGCAATATTTCTATATTTCACTTGTATCCCATCATCCATCCAAGGAAATCTGGGCAGTTTACAAATATATTGTCCTTATAATAACTCTGTTTGCCTGAGAAATAGTGGCCGGTCCAAAGTCACCCAGTGAGCTTTGCATTTAAGCATGGAATTGAGCCTGTCGATGTCCAACCCAGGGGTCAGCAAACTTTTTCAGCAGGGGGCCAGTTCACTGTCCCTCAGACCATGTGGGGGGCCAGACTAGATTTTGGGAAAAAAATAATGAATGAATTCCTATGCCCCACAAACAACCCAGAGATGCATTTTAAATAAAAGGACACATTCTACTCATGTAAAGACACACTGATTCCCGAACCATCCATGGGCCGGATTTAGAAGATGAATGGGCCGGATCCGGCACCCGGGCCTTAGTTTGCCTGCCCATACACTAGCTCATGCACTGTTTATACACTTCTAAGCACACATAAGTCTTGCCCTTGCTGCTATTCTAATCAAAACCATCCTGAAAAATGGGTTTGGCATTTTGATGGTCCTGCTTCTGGGAATCTCTCACTACCAGAAAAAGAGAAATTCAGCACCACTCCCTGGAAGCAAAGCTTCCCAGAAACAAGCATGGACACACATTCTGCCAAGTCAAGGACTCCTGCTATGCCCAATGCCCTCTGCATCAGGAGTGGGCCATTTCTCTCTCTCTCAAAGGCCATATTTCCTATGGGCAGTGTTAGAAACTCAGATATACAGTGGTACCTCAGGTTACAGATGCTTCAGGTTGCAGACGCTTCAGGTTACACACTCTGCTAACCCAGAAACAGCACCTCGGGTTAAGAACTTTGCTTCAGGATGAGAACAGAAAATGTACGGCGGCAGCGGGAGGCCCCATTAGCTAAAGTGGTACCTCAGGTTAAGAACAGTTTCAGGTTAAGAACAGACCTCCGGAACGAATTAAGTTCTTAACCCGAGGTACCACTGTATAAGCTAGGTGCCAAATGGCTCCTTCAAACAGGGACACAGTTGCCAAAAATGGAATCCTGCCTAGTTGCCACTTTTTTGGGGGGGGGGGCAGACAGCTTGAAAGTCGTGTTTTTCAATACAGTACGTCTTTTTTGTTTCCTGAAATTCATTCTTGATTGTGCAGATAAAATATAAGATAGAATTGTACAGGATGTAGTATTAGTGTGTGAAAACAGTCGAGATCTGAAGATCCCCAAGAATGCACCTCCAGATGGTGGAGATGTCAGGAGTTATCCTGACACCTGGGCATCTTCACTTGGTCACAAGTGGCCGATAGCCAGGTGCAAAATGTGCCTGGCGAATTTCGAACGCAGCCTAAGGGCTTAATCCATTTGGCAGGGGCTGCATGGTGGTAGAGGCCAATACAGTGGTACCTCAGGTTAAGAACTTAATTTGTTCTGGAGGTCCGTTCTTAACCTGAAACTTTTCTTAACCTGAGGTACCACTTTAGCTAATGGGGCCTCCCGCTGCCGCTGCACTACCGCTGTGCAATTTCTGTTCTCATCCTGAAGCAAAGTTCTTAACCCGAGGTACTATTTCTGGGTTAGCGGAGTCTGTAACCTGAAGCGTCTGCAACCTGAGGTACCACGGTACCAATTTCTCATACTAGATATAAGTACAGATCTGACACTCTTTCAGTGAGGATACAAGAATGAAGAAAGAGAGACACTTGAGGGTCAGATTCCAAGGGTCACCATGTAAGAGCAGACTGAGGGGGTATGTGCCCCCTGCCCCCAAAGCCAGAGGTTGCCCTCCAATGTAGCAGCTAAATGTGAAGGAACAATAGTCTGGAAAAATACTGAACGACTTGGCTAAGGCCACAAATCCCTTCCGTGGCAGGGTGCGGAAACTGTCACCTGGGCTCAAGCGACCAGCTTTTATACTAAGACCTGGGCTCCTTCGGGAGGAAGGGCAAGATAGAAATTTAATAATATAATAAAATAAATATTCTCAGCATCATTTCCCTCCGCTTTTGTGGCGCCTTGTGGAATTCCCCTCTGGTGATGAACAAGGCCCATCCTAGCCCACGTTAAGAGTTAGTACATGAGAAACCTCCACCAAGTTCCTGTCTTCATTGCTGTAAATACACCATACTTTTATGTGGAAACATGACAGGCCACAGTTAAAGCAACATCATTCCTTCTAATAGCACACTCAGGTGGTTGAGTGCCAATCAATTTGGAAGACGCATCGGACCACCTAAAAGAAAACTAGCCGCTTCTACATGCCCAGGGGGGAACCCTAGGTATATACTGTTGTTGTGAGTAAATTTAAATTATTATTATTATTTTTTTAAACCACAACCCAGAAAGCGCTTAACAGGAACTTGCGAGCTGACAGAAAGTTGATGACAGCTGAGCCTACAAGAGAAAGAAAGCGAGGGTCTAAAGAAACCAGTAGCTACGCAAACTATGGAAGTCAGTATAGCTCAGTTTGTAGAGCATGAGACTCCTAATCGTAGGGTTGTAGGTTCGAGACCCACGTTGGGCAAAAGATTCCTGCATTGCAAGCGGTTGGACTAGATGACCCTCGTTGTCCTTTCCAACTCTACAATTGAGAACAGTTTGATATATGGAATGTTTGTGGGTCTTACTGTGGGGCTGAAGAGGGAGAACACAGAGAAAACAGAGAAAATCTACACGCTCAAGCCCTTGAAGTGTTATAGTGCGTATGAATGCGTGGGCACAGGGGGAGACGTACCACAAAATTAAAGCATTCTAGAACAGGATGCCCGGCTTTCCAGGCATGGCAGCAGGAACAGGTAATCGCACAGTTTATAAAGAAGTATCTGTTACTAATTGAAAAAACTGCAGCTCGGACCTCTCCGGCAGAGATGATAACGGGCTTCAAAGACTGAAGGGCGGGCGCCACAGAAATAGAATTAAACCTCAGTGCACACCTTGCCGCCTCTGCGTTACAACACGAACCGCCCCCCGCCTCCAATCTTTAGCAGGGAAAAAAGTTCAACAGGGGAAGCGGATTGCAAAACCGCACCTGTTGATTTACTGCGTCGGGGGGGGGGGAGAGGTTGGAGAGAGTCGGGAGCTTTGCATTAGGCTGCCATCGCATCGCCCTTCCCTCGAGACATGAGAAACGCGGAAAAATGCGCGCGCTGCTCCTTACCCCGGGCTGGGCAGCGTTGCTGCTGCTCCTCCTCCGGTGGCGAGGCGGAAACCGGCTTCCCTGCAGCAGCTCCTGCCTGCGCCTCCGCAGCAGACTTAGCCGGGCGCCTTGCAGCAGCAGCCGGGCTTGAAGCGTCGCTGCCACCCAACCTCTGTCCCCGGCCGACCAAGAAGCGGGTCCCGTGGGGCGCTGCTGAGCATCAGATCAGCAGCCTTAATCCGGCTTGCAGGAGGAACCACAAGCGGCGGCGGCGGCACCTTTGCTCGGTTGTCTCCTCGTGCACGCGTGCGTGTCTGCAAAGCTGGAGCGCTGGGCGCGCTTCATGGAGCGAGGAGGCGGGCGAGGAGCCCGAGCACAATAAAGACCAGGCAGGGACACGTGGCTCTCCAAGGGGGTGGAGGAGCGCAGCGCGCAGCCGCCCAGCCGAAAGGAGGGGGGGGAGAAGAGGGCGCGATCCGAGCCCTCTGCACGAGCCGGAGAACCAGCAAGCCAATTTCCTCGGAAGTAAGGCCCGTATATTATCGAGACTTTAGGGCGCAACCTCGCGCGTCTTTATTGGGCGGCAAGTCCCGCTGCGCTCCAACCGGGTTGACTATTTTCCTGTTTTCAGGATCGCAGCCTTAAATCCAGATTAAAGCGCTGCTGGCTTTGCAGTTCCCGTCCTCGGGTCGGGAGTCGGCTGGCTTCGTTTCTGGTTTGCTTATTCCGAAGCAAACCCCACCGTCTTTTTTAACGGCACGTTCAGGGTTGGGTTCCCAGCAGTTTATAGCCTTGAACCCGTGCAGCCCGTTGGTTTCAGCGGCGGGTTTACCTCCCTCTGCATAATTGTCTTGCAGAACAGATCTCAATAGTTTCTGTTTTTGCAGGTGGGGATCTCACGGGGTTGGAAGTCGACGCTTTGACAAGTCGGAGAATCAGCCGCCTCTGGGCCCCTCCCCATCGCAACACAGACTGGGGAGGGGGTGCAACTTCCACCCCCACCCCACCCCTCCTGACCATGATCTTGGTTTCTGGATCCTCCTAACGCTCGAATGACAGGCAGAAATTCAACTGCTGCTATTCACAACCCCACCTTAGGAAAAGCCTCACAAGCGGAAATTCTGTCAGTGGTCCAGAACCCCACCAACATTAAAGAAAACTAAACAAAAAGTAGCCGATTGCAGACTTTTGATAAAACCATTTCTGTCGTGTCCTTCCCGAGTTTTGATTTGCTGCTCGGCGCGGTTTATAAATTTTCAAGTGCGTCTGAATGCGTTTCCCTCGTCTCTTGAGACTCCCCATCCCACCCCGCCCTCGGCTAGCAATGAGACTTTATGGCCCAAAGCGCGCGATTTCTAGGCACCTTTTGGTTTCGAAATGCAGCAACGTGCAGCATCTTTGCTCTCCACTTAAAAACGTGTTTTGCAAACTCGCCTTCCGCAGAAGGAATTGCGGGAGAACGGTATTGCATTTGCATGCGCTGAAAATAAACGGAAGCAAAATGACTAGCATGCCCTGAAACTCGCTTGGGGAATTATTAGACTCTCCCTTGTGGATCTAAAGAGATGGAGATTCTTGGTGACATTTCCCCAGCAAAATGTCCGTTGTGCTCTGCTGCTGTTCAAGGTGGCAACCCTAAGGCTTATGTGTGATGCAGAACAAGATTATTCTTGATCCTGGAGGGTAACTATTTACTTTTCTGTATCCAACACAAGAAGAAGTTACATGAAGATGAACTATAATATGAAAACTAGGAAATATGTCAAATTTCAAAACGTTGAATTTGAGGGATCAGTCAATTCCCCCTGTTGCTTCATGAGTAGATTTCCCCCCCAAATATGGGAGAGTATTTGGATTTATTAGGCAAATGCCCCTCTCAACGCAGGAACTGGCTTCTCCAAATTTGCAAAAAGTGTAAAGGAAACCAGTAGCAAGGGAGGTAAATAAAACTTCAGTCCTGCACCCACTTACCTGGGAATTAGTGCAATAAAGCTAATGGGATTTACTTCTGAGTAGACATGTATAGGATTGCTTCCTAAGTGTATAACAGATCCCGTAATTCCATTTCCCTAAATTAATGTACATGAAAATAGTTTTAATTGCCTACTCTGAAACAACCGCATATACACATATAAGCAGACTGTTTATTTAACCAAGCCCAAGGCCAGGGCTTCTTGTTCATAAATTACATGGAGTTAGGGTTGGGCAGTGTGATGGCCAAGTTTGCTGATGACATCAAATTGTTCAGGGTGACCAGTTGCTGGAAATAACAAGTTGGGGAGCATGTAGTTTCTCTCAAGTCCTCCTTGCGGGTTTTATGTACAGTGGTACCTACCTCAGGTTAAGTACTTAATCCGTTCCGGAGGTCCGTTCTTAACCTGAAACTGTTCTTAACCTGAAGCACCACTTTAGCTAATGGGGCCTCCTGCTGCCGCTGCACAATTTCTGATCTCATCCTGAAGCACTATTAACCCGAGGTACTATTTCTGCGTTAGCGGGGTCTGTAACCCGAAGCGTATGTAACCTGAAGCGTATGTAATCTGAGGTACCACTGTATGTGTCTGGTTTGTCACTGTGAGAGCAGCATGCTGGAATGAATGGGCCTTTGGTTCTTCTTATGTAAGGCCAAAAAAGGAATTGTGGGGAATTTCAAAAGGATGTCTCCAAACTGGATGAATGCTGGGGCAAAAAAATCCTACCAGTTTCACATAGAATGGGGACTGAACTGGTGATGACTGACTAGAAAAGAGACCTAGGCAGAGGAGATTGAGAGGAGATATGTTAGCCATCTTCAAATATCTTAAGGGCTGTCGCATGGGAGATGGAGCAAGCTTGTTTTCTCCTGCTCTGGAGGGTGGGAGAAAGGAGATTCTGACTAAACATCAGGAAGAACTTTTTGACAGTTTGACAGTGGAACGGTCTCCCTTGGTAGGTTGCAGGCTCTCCTTCCTTGGAGGTTTTTAAGCAGAGGTTGGATGGTCATCTGTCATGGATGCTCTAGCTGCGATTCCTGCATTGAACAGGGTTGGACTAGATGCGGGTTATGGGACGCGGGTGACACTGTGGTCTAAACCACTGACCCTTTGGGCTTGCCAATCAGAATGTTGGCGGTTCAATTCCCTTCAACGGGGTGAGCTCCCATTGTTTTGGCCCAGATCCTGCCAACCTAGCAGTTCGAAAGCATGCCAGTGCAAGTAGATAAATAGGTACCACTGCGGTGGGAAGGTAAACAGCATTTCTGTGCGCTCTGGTTTCCGTCACAGTGTCTCGTTGTGCCAGAAGCGGTTTAGTCATGCTGGCCACATGAGCCGGAAAGCTGTCTGTGGCCAAACGCCTGCTCCTTTGGCCTGAAAATCGAGATGAGCACTGCAGCCCCATAGTTGCCTTTGACTGGACTTAACCGTCCAGGGTCCTTTACCTTTTACCTCAGACCCTTCAGGTTCCCTTGCAACTCTTCAATTCTACGATTATATAACCTTGGCATCATTGAAAATGTTGACCCAATGTGTGGCATCCTCTAGATACCATGGCTGTTTGCAAAACAGATATATTTTTTTTTGGGGGGGGGGAGGAACCAGTATCCAAATGTATTAGAACAACACAAACAAAATGCAGAAAGCAGAACACAGTAGCAGGCATAAAAGTCACTCATCGATAGAACTTGAGCAGTCTAATCACCTCTACCCAAAGCCTGAGTGAACAGATGTCTTAACAGGATGTGGGAAGCGCAGCCCAAAGGCCTCCAGCGCCTTCAGGGAGAGGGAGTTTCACAATCGGGGATAAGGTCCTCTCTTGTGTCACCGCACAGCGAGCCACACAGCCAGATGGAACAATGAGAAGGGTCTCCTTTGATCTCAAGGCTGGGCTTGGCTGATATGTTAGGGATCGTTGAGAAAGGGGTTGGAAATAAAACTGCCAGTATTATAGTGCATTTACGCTCATCTAGGGTGGTGCAGCCACCCTTAGAATACCGTGCACGGGTTACTGGTCATTTGCCCCTCAAAAAAGACATTGGGGAAAGGAGCAGAAAAGGGCAACCGACACAATCGAGAGGCTTGAGACACTTTCCTGTTAGGAAAGGTTAACTGGAGCAAGACGGCATGGACAGATAATACTGGTTTGGGACTGATTGCATTGGCTGCCAGTTTGGGCTTGTTCCCACTTCCCCTAGAAAGTGTGGGTCCAAGCTGTTTTCTGGTTGTACTCTCTGGACACAGGACTGAGTGGTTCTCTGTTTGCCCTGCCGCTTTCCCTAGCAAATCCTGAATCAGAGCAAACATCAATCTGCAGAAAACCTGATGGACGTTTGCTCTGATTCAGTGGTAAAATTGGGTTTCCCCCGGGGGGGGGGGAGTGGCAAAAGGGCTCATTTTGCCCTTTAAAGCCTTATACAGCTGAGGATCCCTATACTTAAAGGACCGCCTTTCCCCTATGAGCTGCCCAGAACCTGAGAGCATAATCTGAGACCCTTCTCTGTGTGCTACTGCCAAGGGAGCTCCAGGGGGTGGTGGCGGGAGAACAGGCCTTCTAAGTGGTGGCCCCTGATCAAGGGAATCTTGCCCCCAGAGAGGCACCAATATTTTCATTGTTCTGTCACCAAGCAAAGTCGCTTTCATTTTGCCAGATGTCTGGACAACACCAAGTATATTGTCGTGCTGAATCTGTTTTCATTTAATAATGTTTGTGGGATTTTGCCTCTTTATGGTTCACTTTGGTTATAAATCGCTTTGGGAGGTTTTGTTTTTTTAGTGGCTGCATTTAAAATAAACTTAAAAGACTGAACGATCACCCAAAAAGTCTGAAAATGAGACATTTTTGCACTTAACACACAAAGCTTGGTTCGCGATGTTTACCAACAGGCCAGCTTTCCCGCGCAGAGCAAGCCAAACAGCACGTCTGATGGGATGTTGAACTGCGGGAATCATTTTGGGAACTGTAGCTTTTCAGGGGGAAGTAGGAGGGTTCTCCTATCAACTGTCAGCAGCCTTAACAAACTACATCTCCCAGGATTCTTTGGGGGAGGCTACGACTGTTTAAAGTGGTGTCATAGCGCTTCAACCGTATGGGGTGGCTGCGGCTTTGATGAAAGGGTGTGCAGGGAGAAGCCTTTTGTGTCGATTCCGTTGCTGAAGAACTGGAAATGAGAAACCCCGGTGGATCTAATAGCGACCTCTCCGCATCCCTGCGATCTGGTAGAACTGATCAACCCAGTCCCCCAGCCTAAAGTTTGCAACAATGGCTTTTCCGTTGCAGGTGTCTCTCCGTCTTACTTGTCTTTCTGAGAAAGCATGTTTTGAGTTGAGTCATAGCTGAGCAAGAAACTGTGCGGAGACAGGAGTCAGTTGGCAGGCAGACAGCTCACACCCTGCGCTGCCTGGTAGCTGAAGGTGTGC